ACCAGGATGAGCAAACAACAATACATGCACGAACAACCAACATGAATCAGTCCAGAAGACTTGCGTCGATCGACACAACCACTAGGTATCGATCGATGCACTGCAACACCCTGGTGTCGATTGACACATCGCTGCAGATCGTGAGGATCGAGCCTATCCTCTCATGGCTTGAATCCAAAGCGATTCATCGATCTCCTACGCACTCACCTTGGTTTTGGAAGGAAAGAATGAAGAACACGAAGAACCCTACGAAATCAGATCCTAAAGCCACTGATTTCCTATTTCCCAATCCGAAATCAACACAACCACGAGTCTCTGTCGTTCCAACAACCTCACAACCCAAACCACAAACCTTTAGGATGAAAAAAAAACACAAAGTAAATCAACAATGATCCCTTTTCTTCTCAATCATCTCACTTTCTCTCTGATTTCTGATCGAAAATACGGCCAAAAAGCGTCCCCCACGCTATATATATCGAACCCTAGGGTTCCCTAAACCGGACGCCTAACCAAGCGATCAAGAACCGAACCTGTCGGTTCGATTTCAACTTGCGTCGATCGACGCACAACACTTGTGTCGATCGACGCAACACCCAGAACCCGACTCTTCGCGAGTCCAAACACGTGTGTCGATCGACACACACACACTGTGTTGATCGACGCACCAACCAAAAATACATATTTTGGTTCACGGATGTTACATTTGGTCTCGGAAACACATGAAGACGACCAAGGGTTTATGGACATTCTTAACTTTATTTTGCAAGGAAATTTGAGGATGAAGGCATCATACTAGATCGATGAATCTATAAAGTTTTTTTTGTCAAGGTCTAGAGGATATTTATCGATCAATAACCCAGATGCTTCGCGAGACGCTTCACCAGCAGCAGGACCAAACGCAGTACCATGGCCTAACAGAAGACCAGAAACTTGACAGGATAATCACATTGCTTGCAAAATTGGAACACAAATTAAAAGTGATAGAGAAGATCCTGAGAATCAAATATGGCAAAACATGAACAAACATAGGTAAGTCTAAGAAATATCTTATTCAAAAATGTTTTTGATTAATTGTTACTCATGCTTCATCTCTTATTTTGTTGTAGAGCGAGAAACAAAAGAAGGAGACCCTAGAAGAAGAGACCCAAGTAGAAGTGACCCAACAAGAAGAGGTAAGCAAATTCTAAAGTTTTTTTATAAAATTATTTTAAAAATAAAATAAAAAAGCTTTGTAAACAGCTGGCATCGTCCGGCTGTATCTATCATTTTCTTGCAACCCGACAAACAAGAGACCGAGAACCAAGAAAAAGAGGTAAAGCATCTTATGAAATGCTTTACAAAAATTGTTTTAAAACCTTTTATAAATTGAAAAGTGAGGTTAACAGACTTGTATCATTCTGCTGCAGGTCAACAATGATGATGTCGATACCAATATCAATAAGCCAAGCACATTTGAAGATTTGGTTCGCAAGCTAAATACGCAAGATGTAAGTTATGCTGCATAT